TATGGTGACACATAGGTTATTCGACCACCTTATTGATTTTATCCAGTCTGTCGTTATTATAAAGAATGCTTGTGAATATGTTATTTATATCTTTTACTAATGTATCTTTGAAGTAGATTCCTAAAACTATGAATGCTTTGAAAGAGGATAAATTTATATGTAATGTTGCTATTATTTTGAATAACATGCTATTTTTCTGTCCCAACATATGAAAATATCTGTTTCCCTGTAGATTCACTTACTGGATGTATTATTACACCCATTTGTCATTCATTTTAATTTCTTTTTTGTTGTTCTTGCCAGGAAGTTTCATATAATCATCTAATATGCTGACTCTTTTATGGTATGTGAAATAAGAAAGAGATCTAATTATATCTTTTTCTCATAGGACCATATATTTGTTCCAATGTGACACTGTTTTAATAATATTGTATTTTAAATTCCATAGGATTAGCCTTCCTATTATAATTTGCATTAATTTTTAAAATGCTTGTTACTGGATATTGGTGCTTATTTAGTCATTCATATAAACATTAGAATAGAAATTTTGAAATATGATTCCTCAATATTTCTAGATAAAATGTATATTACATTCATCCTGGTCTTAATACAAACAAACTGGAATAGATAATGCTTATAAAAATTTCCAGACCTGATAATACTGGGAATACAGCCTTTTGAGAAATAATATCCAAGCATAATCTAAGAATACCGAAATGACTCTAGTGATTGTCATTTCCGAAGGACAAATTTAAATTTTAGGACCTCTCAAATAGCATCAGAGGTGTTATAGTGAAAAGACACTAGATTTGAATCAATGGTTATATTCCTGTCTGAAATCAATTATTTTAGTCATTTCTAGACTAGTTTCTTGACCTTCTGTGTCATCACTTACACAACAGTATGTGTCTTAGCCTACATAGAACTCACACAAGCCAAGGAAAGATGTCAGAACAGAATCATTTCCCCTTTTATCACACAGCCTATCCACCTGAATCTCCCAACAAAGGCATAATGCATCAGTGACACACAATACTAATAAATTTAAAGGCAAGTAACTCATGTTCACATGCAGTAACATATCAGAAAGGCCTTTTTAAGGTGAGTAAAGATTTTCCTCTCAATAACTTTATTCTCCACATGAATCACCTACTGTGCACGTAATATTTTATGTGTGTGTGTGTTTTCTTTTTATAGAATTTGAAGACATAAATGCTTTATAGTTTAAAATCCTGTGGAATTCATCTCAGAATTAACTTCTTTGGCATCTTCAAGGGGTTTGAGCTAACCAATTCACAATACTTTAACATCACAGTCATCTACAAAAACTACAAACAAATATATGCTATAGGTTTTAGAAGTATTTTAGGCTCTGTGCCTGTTGTTCACTGGGATTTAAAGTATCTTTTGAGGTCGGTTCAGTGAGAGAGGAATTTTGTGTCTATGAATTTCCGGAAGGCATCCTTCACATCTTTGTTCCTCAGGCTGTAGATCAGAGGGTTCAGCATGGGATTGACTACTGTGTAAAAGACAGAGGCCACTTTGACAGTTTGCCGAGAGTTTTTGGAGTTAGGCACACAGTAAAGAGAAAGGATGGTTCCATGGAAGATGGTGATGGCAGTTAGGTGGGAAGCGCAGGTAGAGAAGGCTTTGCGACGCCCACTGGCAGAACGGATGTTCAGTACGGTCACAAAGATAAACACGTACGAAGTAAGGATGATCAGTAGTGTACTTACCTCATTAAAAGTGGCGAAACCAAAGAGCAGCAGGTGAGGGATGCGTATATCAGAGCTCGAGACAGCAATAAGAGCAGTATATTCACAGAAAAAGTGGTTGATTACATTATATCCAAAAAAGTTTAGTTGCAGAGCATAGCAAAGAAGTATCAAAGGGCCAAACATACCCCAGAGATATGACCCAGCCACCAGCAGGGTGCAGAGCCTCTGTGACATGGCCACCGTATAAAGCAGAGGATTACAGATGGCCACAAAGCGGTCATAGGCCATCACTGCTAGCAAGAAGGACTCAGTCACCACAGCAGTGCAGGACAGGAAGTACTGCAACATGCAGCTGGAGTAGAAGATGCTTTTATCAGCCATGACCAAGTTCTCAAGAAGCTTGGGAGTAACGATGGAAGAGTAACAGAAATCAACAAGAGAAAGGTGACTAAGGAAAAAGTACATGGGGGTGTGTAACTTGGGGTTAAACTTGATGATTACTATCATTCCAAGATTCCCTACCACTGTGATCATGTACATAACCAGAAACACAAGGAAGAGAGGAATCTGCAGCTCTGGATAATCTGTGAAGCCCAAGAGGACAAAGATTGTCTCCACACTCAGATTTTTTGCAGCCATCACAATATCTTTGAAGGGCGGGTGGGGGGAGAGAGTTACTCCTGTCAAAAGCAAGATTTATGGTGGTGAGTGACAAACATTCCATGATTTTTTATGGCAGACAAAAGAGTTATGGGTCTTCATTTCTTCAAGACTGAACATGTCTTATGCAAATAACTGCTATGGATAAACCAAACCAACTGAGTCACTAAAATGTCCTCACATATCTGTTGCAATTTGTGTTTTCATAAGAAATACTTCTATTATAGGGTATACATTCATATTAGCAAATAGCATAACAGGCACATAACTGATAAAATATGTTAGCACATAAATTATAATGAAAGTCTATGAAAATGTGAAATGTTTGCCTCAAAGAATATATACTGCTACTGTATTTTGCTTATATGTATAAATTGAGGAAAATCCTCAACAGAATATGTTTCTATTCTAAGGATAAAGTAAAATATTGAAGAAATCTAGGGGAAAAAAGTATATCAAACCCATTTTAGCACCTTTGTTCACCAAAGATTACTTCTATAGAATACCTTAGTTGCTCAAGGGCTGAGGAGGACAATGGCTCCTTTTGACCTCTAAATCTAGTATCCATCTAATTAGGGTTAATAGTCTAAGGGTTAACATCTATAAAAGCCAAGACAGCCTATAGATACTTCTTCAGGGTCTCAAGATTTACCAGGTAGAGTTCTCTCAGAACTAACAAATTCTCATATTTGTGAGAGTTTATATGCCCATTTGAGGTGATACAAAGAAAATATGGATAAATATCAAATTCCAGGTGGAAACTTTATTTTATTTTTTGTGAAGTGCTCATCAATGGACTGGAAGCCAAATATTTCCATGAGTTAATTTCTTTAACATATAATTGAACTCAGAACCAGACATCATTTACAGTGATTTGACATAGAAAAAGAAAAAAAAACAGTTATCACATCAGGAAAATATGTTCATGGTTTCAAAGAAAACCTAAATAAACTTACCTGCTACAGAGAAACAGGCCACCACCCTCCTGTTTTTCTGTAAGCTGAGTATAACTGGGACACCAAAGCTCTTACATCTATCTCTGTAGCCCTAGGGACTCAAACTCTGGAGAATCACTATCAAGTAATTCCTCACAAGCATCAACACAGGTAATTAAGACAAATGTCAAGTCTCTTGTGCCATTTTTAATGACTGAAATTTTTTTGAAATTGCACAGAAAAACTGCAGCTTGAAATTGCTTACCAGGCTTTGGTGCACATAACTAAAATGCTCTCTGGAATTAATACGACTAAAATAAAACTAAGATAAAAAAGTATTTCTCAAAACCTGCCTCATCTATGCAAATATTCAATGGGCCTCTTTTTAATTAAAATTATTGGGGTGACATTGGTTAAGAAAATCAAATAGATTTCCAGTATAAAATTCAATAATTCATCATATATATATTGCATTGTGTGTTCACCACCCAAAGTTAAATTTCCTTCCATCATCAAATATTCAGCAAATCTCTTGATTTCACAGGAAGCATATACCAATTTTAAGCAAGTTACCAACCCCTTTTCAAGGTCACCCAGCAGGTTGTCCATATTGAGTGGGTGCCAAAACAGCATGGTAATGGCAGAAGAACAGACACACAGACCAATAGAACAGAATAGAGAGTCCAGAAATAATCATAATTTTTCCATTTTTGGTCCCCTTTGGTAATCCTTCCAAAAATTAATATAAAGTCGGCATTTTTACTTGATATTCAGAGTTATCATGTTTAACATCACTTCTTATACTATAATTAAAGATACAAGGCTTTGGGGAGAAAGAAGCCAAGAGCTTGGCCAGATCTTAGACATAATGCGTCCAGTCTCTCACTGTTATTTTCTCCATATTCGCACTCTTAGTCACTGATAGCTTTTCAGAATTCTTCTATACCCTGACATTTTCATCGCTTAAACTGAATTGAAGAATGTTTTAAAGAATAATTCACCATACCAACTTATGAGTTAAGAGATATAACATTTTGTGATATGATATTTACTGTTAAATTTCTTAAAGTTGCTGCAAGTAAATTACCACAAACTTGGTTGCTTAAAACAATGGAACTTTATTCTCTCCCTGTTCTCGAGACCAGTTGCCTGAAACCAAGGTGCTAGCAGGGTATGCTCCCTCTGAAAAAGACTAATGGAGAGTCTTTCTTTACATCCTTCAGATTCTTTGATTCATGGAACCTCCAGTTGGTAATCTCTGCCAATTTCTGCTTCCGTGTTCACAAAGTCTTCTTCCCTGTGTGTCTCTGTGCATCCTTTTTTGTCTCTTATAAAACACACTCATTGGATTTGGGGTCCACCTTAATCCAGTATAATCTCATTGCAATCCTTAATTACACTTGTAAAGATCCTATTCCTAAATAATATTACATTCTGAGGTTCTGGGTGGACATAGATATTTTGGGGGACACTATTCAAACCACAGCACTTATGTCACTTCATTTATGGTTCATAGCTATTTTACTAAACATTGAAGTGACTAGAAACCACCTGATCAAATAACTTATTTATTACAATAGATTAAAAAATCTAGTCAATTAATTAAATAACTTGAATGATCATTTCTACTAGAATCATTGAACAATCTTCAATACAATAAATCAAATTCCTTTTGAAATACAAATCTTCAACAAAATCGTATTGAGTGCTTCATTGATTTCCTGACACTCTCCTTCACATCTTTATTCCTGAGGCTATAGATCAGAGGGTTCAGCATGGGGATGACCACAGTATAAAATACAGAACCTACTTTTACTATGAGCCATGAGTTTTTGGAGTTGGATACACGATAAAGAAACAGGACAGTCCCATGGAAAACGGTGATAGCAATCAGATGGGAGACACAAGTGGAGAAGGCTTTTTGGCGCCCACCAGCAGAAGGCATTTTTTATGACAGTGACAAAGATGAAAATATAAGTAGTGAGAATGATTATCAAGCCGCTCACCTCATTGAATATGGTGATGACAAAGCAAAGCACCTGGCTGATGTAGGGGTCAGAGCAGGAGACAGAAACAATGACAGAGTGCTCACAGACAAAATTATTTATGATGTTAGACCCACAGAAGGATAATTCCAGGAGAAAATAGGTGAGCGTCAGGGAAGAGACTATACCCCAAGTGTAGGGCCCTGCAAAGAGCTTTTTGGACATGACTGTTGTGTAGAGCAAAGGGTTACAAACTGCCACAAATCGATCATATGCCATCACTGCTAACATGAATGTTTCTGTCACTGCAAATATACAAGCTAAGAAGAATTGCATGATGCAACCTATGAAAGAGATGGTTCTGTCTTCCACAACCAAGTTCTCCAGAAGTTTGGGTGTGTCTGTAGTGGAATAACAGAAATCAGTGAAGGACAAGTGGCTGAGGAAAAAGTACATGGCAGTGTGGAGTTTGCGACTGATCCGGATGACCATGATCATGCCCAGGTTCCTCAGCACAGTGACCGTGTAGATGGTCAGGAATACCAGGAACTGGGGCCCCTGGAGTTCTGGAAATTCTGAGAAGCCCAAGAGAGTGAATGTGGCTCCAGCACTCTGATTTTCTTTAGTTATAAACATAGTTCTTGTGGGAGAAAATCTGAAATAATGATAAAAATAACAACAATGATAATGATGATAGTACATTTATATAACATTGACACTATAGCAGGCATTGTGCTGAAATATTAATATATATTAACTTCAATCTTATATAACACTGTGCATGATAAAACAATAGTTCCATATTTCACAAAAGAAAACAGGCATATGTGAATGAAGGAACTTCTTTTAGGTTATGCAGCTTGTTAGTGAGGAGCTGGGTTTTGAAGTTGATCCTGAGTGTCAGAATTTGAATTACGTTTAGGGTAGATAGAAAACAAATGTAGAAAAACATTTGTCTTTCTTCATTCTGAATATCCATGCTTTTTAATAGCACCAATATAACAATGAATATAAATTTAGCACTAAAAGTTATCAAGGAAGGGTCAGGAGAAGTAAAGCATTCGAGGCAATAATATTTCTATAGTTAATGCTGTTCAAAGTGAAGATCATAAGAAAGGTGGCATTTGTGTCACCTCAAGAATTTTCAAGTTTTGAAAAAGTATATGGATATGAAGGAAATATAGCCCTGTATATCTTTAAGCTTTCCATGGATTCCATCCTGATGCTACAATTATTGCCTTAGTGTTCTAAAAACAATGTAGGAAACCGGTAAAACAATGAGGCTGCATTTTTGACAAGTCATTCTCTTGCTCCTCTGTTTTCTTTCCTACTTAAATGTTTTCTCATTAAGTGTCACTGATGCTCTCAACATACTCATCTAGGTTTCTTGACCATTATCTTTAACTTTCTATTATTATTTTTTAATCCGATAACTTTACTAAGCATATTATAACATTAAATACTCGAAGCGTCTCTTAATTAAAGAGTAACTTAAAATGTGTTTTCCTCAGGCCTTCCATATTCTTCAGATAAAGTCTCTAGAATATGGTAATAATCATCGATGATACATAATCATCCTCAAAATTTCCAGTGATGGGAACATTGTCACTTTAAATATTATTATAGAAGGAATTTTTTATTAATAATATATTTTTTTTTATTTTTCAGTTATAATTGGCATAAAATACTATATTAGTTTCAGGTATATAGTATAGTGATTAGACATTATATAACTCACAAAGTGATTACTCCAATAAATCTAGTGTCCCTCTGACACTGTACATATTTATTACAATATTATTGGCTATATTCCTTATGCTATACTTTCTATCTCCATGACTATTTTGTAACTACCAATTTGTACTTCTTAATCCCTTCCCCCTTTTTAACCATCCCTCCCATTTGGTAACCTGAAAAATGTTCTTTGTATCTATGAGTTTGTTTCTGGGTTTTTTTTAAATTTGTTTTGTTCTTTAGATTCCACATATACATGCAATCATATGGCATTTGTCTTCTTCTATCTGACTTATCCCACTCAGCATGATACCCTCTAGGTCCATTATGAAATATCTTTTTCCATTCCATTATTTTTAGCCTGTGTGTGTCTTTTAATCTGAAGTCAATCTCTTGAAGGCAGCATGTGTAAGGGTCTCATTTTCTTATCTATTCAGCCACCCTATCTTTTGATTGGAGCACTTAATTTTCATTTGAAGTACTCTTTAACAGACATGTAGTTATTGCCATTCTTTATTTAGACTTTTCATACATATTTTTTCTTCTTCTTCTTGAAGAAGTCCCTCTAATACTTACTATAATACTAGGTTGGTGGCAATGTATACCTTTAGCTCTTTTCTTATCTAAGAAGCTCTTTTTCTGTCCTTCCAGTCTAAATGATAATTTTACTGGGTAAACTAATCTTGGTCATAGGTCCTGGGTTTTCTTCACTTTGGATATTTTGTTCCAAGCCATTCCGGCCTGTGAAGTTTCTGTTAAGAAATCAACTGCCAGTCATATGGGTGTTCCCTTGTAGGTAACTAACTGCTTTTCTCTTGTTGCTTTTGAGATTCTCTCTTTGAATTTAACCTTTGGCATTTTAATTATGATGTGTCTTGGTGTGGGCCTATTTCTGTTCATCTTATTTGGGACTCTCTGAACTTCCTGGGGTTGTATATCTATTCCCCTCACTAGGTTAGAGAAGTTTTCCATCATTTCTTCAAATAGGTTTTCAGTTCCTTGATTCCTCTCTTCTCCTTCTATGACGCGAATGTTGTTATGCTTGATGTTGTCCCAGAGGAAACTATTTTCATTTTTTTAGATTCTTTTTTATTGTTGCTGTTCTGATTGAGCATCCTCTGCTACTCCATCCTCTATATCACTGATTCAATCTTTCGTTTCATCCACTCTATTGATTCCCTCTAATGTACTCTTCATTTCATTATTGTATTCTTCATTTCTGACTGGCTCTCTATTATGTTTTCCATCTCCATTTTTATATATATATATATATATATTTTTTTAATCTTTTTATCAGAGTTCTCACTGAGCTAATCTTCTCATAATTACCTTGAGCATCCTTAAAACCAGTGTTTTGAACTCAGCATCTGGTATATTGCTTATCTCCATTTTGGTGAATTCTTTTCTGGAGCTTTGTTTTGTTCTTTCATGTAGGACATGCTTCTTTGTCTCTCCATTTTGTCTGCCTCCTGGTGTCTGTTTCTATATATTCAGTAGGGCTCCTTAGTCTCCCAGTCTTAGTAGGGGGGCTTTATGTAATAGATGTACTGTGGGGCCCCTTGGCACAGACCTGGCAGGGGTTTAGCTGCAGGCCAAGTTCACCTTCAGCCTGTGCACCTCTGGAGACACCTGGTAAGAGTCACCAAACGATCCACATATGGCTGCCACTCATGCTGGGCTTAGAGGTTCCTCAAGAAGCCAAGTCAGAAACCGAGGCAGGCTGCCACTGCTGCGAGGCTTGGGGCTGCTCAGCAAGAAATACAGGACAAGCTGAGGCCAGATGCTGATTCTTTGCGTTTTGTGAGCCTTTGAGAGATTTTATGAAATTTCACAGCAGGAGTCAAGATAGCCCATTTGTATGGAATAAATCACTGAAAACAGCTTGGGTGTGCCCACAAGTTAGGAGAGGTGAAGTCTCAGGGAATTCCCTGGGCGGAGCAACCTGTGTTATCTAGGTTGATGGCTCCTGCATCTGCAGGCTAGGAGGTGATCCGACTCAACAAAGGAATAATGGCTTCTCCTGCACCTCTGCCCCAGAGCAAGCCGCCCCTCCAGCTCTTGCCCTGAAGCCTGACATCTCAGTGCCTCCTTGTATGTCCCTGGGTCTCCTCAAGGAAGTGTGCCAGCTCTGGAGCTCAAAGCGATGGAGTCTGTCAGCGAGTAAGGCTGGGCCCCACCCTTTAAGAGAAACGGTCTCCACTTCCCGTACCCTCCGGCTTACTCAGCCCCAACCTCTGCTGGTTTCACAGCCAGAGGTTGTGAGGACTTCCCTTCCCAGCACTAGAACCCTAGGCTGGGGATCCCAGTGTGTGGCCAGGACCCCTCGATTCTCAGGTCAGGGAGGTGGCTCTGCAGCCAAGATAGGCTTCCCAATTCTCAGTTGCCACTTGTGGTTGTGGGACCAGGACATTTTGAATCTTCACCCTTCCTACTCTTTTGAGATGACCCGTTATTTGAGGTGACCTAGTTGTAGGACTTCTGTTCAGCCAGACCTCTGATGACTTCGTGTACTGGTTGCTCTGTAGTTTTGTTGTAATTTTGGAGTCGTCACTAGCGAAGGCATGCACAGCCACTACCATCTATGCTATCTTGAGCACTAAAAAAGGATTTTGATTAAAGCTACACATATGATTATTTTGCTGGATCATGCAATCTTTGTTATATTTGTAGATGTCATTTTGAGAAAACAAAAGCATCTCATATTCATAAGCAATTCATAACCACAGAAATATCCTTAATCATTTAATAATGATTTTAAAAATAAACTAGCCAATAACAAGCACATGTCTGAAATGTTCAAGTTAATAAAAGGCAATTATTATAAATCTCATAAACAAAGACACCTTTTCAGTTTTATCTGACCTGATCAGGTTAGAAAGAAACTATTATCCTCTTCATAGCTAAATGCCATTTTTTAGCTAAATGCCATTTTTTGACACTCAAAAATATGCATTTCCTACATTAGGAAAAGGGACTCAGCAGGAAAGTGGCAAAGAGCTAATGAGAGATCAGCATCATTAAAGAAACATGGGTTTGAAAACCTATATTTAAATTCATTTCCAGGTTTTATTATTTACAGTGTGATCTTTGGTGAACTACTTGAATTTCCTAAACCTCAATTTCCTTATCAATAATATTGACATGATAATATATATGTCATAGGTATATAAGAATTAAGTTAGGAAACGATGTTGATAAACTTAGTACAGAGTCTGATGATCATGGAGTCCACATTCCCCCATCCTCCATCCTTTTCATTCTGAATGCTATGATTAATTGGTATTCTTTTTAAACCCTTATATTATTTTTAAAAACGTAGGAAACATTATGAAACAAAATGGACAGCAATGGACATGTGGGCACAATTGGGAACATCAAAGGCTAGCTCGGCTCTCTTTCCTGGGTCTTCTCTTGACCTTGTCTGTCTTAACTCACCAAATGAATTGTCTATTTTCCCTTGCACTTTCTTGTTATTATCTGACTCTTTCTAATCTCAGTTGGTGCCTTTGGGACACTTAGCAAACTGCAATCATAACTCAGGTATATGATCGTAGCTGAGGTCCAGACAGCTTCCCTGTGGTGCTGCTAGCCAGCACTGTGAGAATGTTAGTTTCTTCTTCCCTTGACTACTGTGGTTATTACGACAGCCTTTGGCTCTATAAACTTTAATTTCTCCCTATTTGCTAATTTTTCAAATCTAAATTTCCCTGCTGTTTTACCCTAAGCCTCCAGTATTCAACTTTCTTTGATCATGTCAATAATTCTCAGCTTACAATAAATAACACATACTCATTTATACCTTAGCTGATTTTATTTTTCTTGTCTTTTACCTGGAATATCACCCTTTTGCAGTGTAGTGATATACACCTTGCAATAGGCAAAGTGTTAAATGAAAACTACTCCCACAAAAAAACTTTCCCTTTTCACTCCAGCAATATTTTCCATATTCTGGGTATTCCTACGGACTTTACTTTCATGAAATCAAGATTTCATGATCTATTGTGTTCACTATTACTTTATATATAACTATTCTCATTTTCTTTCCATAAAATTTTATGATGAGGAGGAAAGTCTCAGGTAAAAGCAAAACTAAGGATGATACCCTAAAGAAAGAAGAAGAGATTATAGCTGAGGAATGTGAGCCTTCAGGAAGATGGACTCAGGAGTTATTATGGCAGTTAGACTACCAGAGTACTCCCTGCCTCAAAGGTTGCGGGACTGCAATAGCCCCGTATAAGTGAGTGATAACACAAGCTAGATCACCCAACCTGAAGCCAACTCACCTGAAAATCCTGTTCCTGTTATTAACAACCTCCAAGGAAGTTCCTACTCAGAATTCAAAAGTATTAAAAATATTAAGGAGCTGGTAAGTATAGCAGGAATTCATAATAAATTTTAATGTGATGGCAATATATTTCTTTCTTAATATCCAGGAAAACTCGAAGAAAGGTGAGAGAGAGAGAGAGAGAGAGAGAGAGAGAGAGAGAGAGAGTGTTGGGAGCTAAATCTGACCACTAGGAGCAAAAAGTTGGGCTTATTTATATGCCTCCATGACCTCAGGGATTTAGACCCTAGAGAATCTTAACTGAATTTTTTTTTTTTCACATCACAAACTCAAAAATTAGATTGAATGCTCTCTTATGTGTCTTTTAACTAGAATGCAATTTCTTCTAAATCGCTGGAGACAATGCTTCATCAAACTTACTATATAAATTTATTTTTAAAATGTAACTATGGAAAATAAACAAATTGACTCAGAAAACATGGTGACTAGTAAACAGCAAAAGGAAAGATAAATCAGCTTAAATGTAACCATTTAGAGATAAATACTGTTGACATTTGTTGTATGATTTTTCTGTCTTTATCTGTGTATTATGAGTGTGTGTATTATTTCTGTGTCTTGAGATGTATAAACAATATAACTTGGATTCTGGCTTTTTCATTTGGCATTACATAATTATTTTTGTCCTTGGAGATATTGATTCACTTCATTAAAACTAATTTGTGTTTTCTTCCAAATACGGGCAATCTACTCTTCCAAATTTATATTAATGCAATTGAATAATATTATCTCTTTGTGTCTATACCTTCTTAAAAATGACAAATGTATTTTGGAAGTTTTTTTCACTCTCTAAAACTACTCAGTGCTATCCAATCCATAGATTTCACTACACCCAAATAGCACCCCATTAGATCCACTTATGCTTTCTCTGGGCCCCTGACAACCTAACTATCCCTCGCTAGAATCTCTACCAGGAAGCCCTAACACAACAGAGGCTATTTATCACATGGCATAAAATTATTTATTGTAGATGACATGACCTTGCTCTAGAATCCTAGGAATCTGCATTGTTATTCTCCCATTGAGATTGGCTAGAGTTCCACCCTGCATCTGCTTCCCACTGTTGACACCTCTGCACCCTGGACTAACTCTGGACCAAATTCCTGCACCAGTCACTCAAAGCTAGCAACCTTGTGTGTCACCTGATATATGAGTTTTCTATGCTTTATAACAAATATACCACCTACTCAATGGCTTAAACTAATACACATTTTTATATCATAGTTTCTGTAGGGCAGCAGTCTGGGCACCACTTAGTTGGGCTTTCTGGACTCACCAGGGTGTCATCAGGCTGCAATTCAGGTGTCAGCAAATCTGTGCTCTCAAGCAGCTCAACTGGGGAAAAACTCCCCATCTAGGCTCCTCGAGTTGTTGGTAGACTTTATCTCCTTGCAGATATACGACCTAGATACCCATTCTTTTGCTGGCTATCGAACAGCAGCTACTCTCAGATCCTAGAAGCCATTCACAGTTCCTTGTCACATGGCCCTCTCCAGAGGCCCTCTCACAACATGGTGTCTTCTTCAAAGCCAGCAATGAAGATTTTTTCTAATGTCATGGAGGGTCCAGTCCCTCTTAACAAGGCTTCCACTGATTGAATCAAAGTCACCCAGGTTAAAATCTCACTAAATAACTCAAAATTAACAGAGTTTGGACCTTGCAGAATTTTGGACATGCAGAATTTTTCACCTTCCTACGTAACATAACATAACCAAGGGAATGGCATTCTATTAGCTTTGTCACATTGTATGAACTAGAAGCAAGTCACAGGGCTTTGCTGCACACAATGGGAGGTGAAGACACAGAAATATACACACCAGGAAGTGGTAATCAGTTTCCTTAAGGACTGTCTATCACATCTGTTATAAGGCTCAGAGCAGAATCCCTAGCTGTGGAATGTGTTGCCTTTGAAACCTTAAAAGAAGTCTTCTAAGAGCTATGCCTCCTCACTTCCAGTAGGGGATACAAAATGCAATAATTTGGCTTTGATTTTGGAGAGGACACCCTGGAATGCTTCTGATTACTTCACCCCCTAAACACATCATTGAAATGGCAGGTCCCTGAATCTCTTTGTTCCTCTGTGTCTAACTAAGGCCTTCAGCATACTAGGCACTTCCTGTTTATTTTGTATGGTGAGTATGATGCTATCAATGTTATGGACTGGTGTGTGATCTGTGACATGTTCAGGTGGTAGAGGTTTTTTCAAACTATATCATGACAGAGGGCTGTAGAGTTGGCATAACCCTAAGTAAAACCTTTCACCTGCTTATGGGCTATTTGGTTGAGTTTTCCATAGTCTGCAGTCTTCATCTGGTTTCCTTCTGTTTGAAAATTTCTCTTATTATCTCTTTTACTGGAAGTCCACTAAAGACATTCCTTTAGCTTTTTAACCTTGAAAACACTTTGCTCCACCTATATTTTCAAAGAATATTTCTTAGGTATAAGATCATAGTTCTACACTTATTTTCTTCTCTAATTTAACGACGTCACTCATTGACTTCTACCTTCCTTTTTCATCGGAGAGTCAGTCATGGTCTTTTGCTTCAGGTAAGATACAGAAGATCACTACAAACTGACATTTCCCCTGCAATAACTTTTTTAAAAAGATAAATTGTGAAATGATATTTTAAAAGACATCCATGGAAGCAATTAGGACTACAGAATTAAAATTTCAGAAAGGAGAGAGACCTTTCTTCATCAGCTGTCAGCCACCAGCTGTTTCACTGCACGAGTTTTCTGATTTGAGATGCAAATTGAGTTTCCAGTTTGGCCCTTGCAAAGAGACACTATTGGGAAAACAAGGAATCCAGCAGTGCTTTGCAGGCACACAAGAATTTAATAATAAATTGAAAATTAAGGAAACCCCAAATTCACAACCAATTTTCCCCACAAAGCATTTGTTGAGTTCTGGAATGGCATGCTGGGAGCTAGATATCTGAACCACAAAGGCAGATCAAAATGCCCCAAATGTTATGGTGCTTAGAAGGAAACATTTACTAGAGTATTGAGAACTTCCACAAATCTTGACCATCTCCCCTTCATATTTGTCTGGTTATTAAGCTGCAGTTGAAAGAGCTAAACTCATCTCAGAAGGATGGAACTCAATCATTTATATTAGCCTTTCAGATCTGAGGGAGACACATACCTGTCAGTTCTCAATTAAAACCCCAGCCACACAGGTTGGGTTTTGAATTATAGGATGGCTGAGCCTTAAGAAAACTTTTCCCTCCAGCTCAGTGATGTTAATGGCTTCTTCACTAATCTCTAGAAGAACTCTTCTCCCCCCTTTATTCCAACAGTCCTTCCCGTACTTTTATTACAGATCACTTTTCCAAGTTCCTCTGTTTAAAAGCCAGGACAATTACATGACAGGACAATTATACATCAGCAGTGTAATTCTCAAAGGCTTGGTAATGTAGATATTATGAGAAGATCATCAAAGGCGCAATGCTGAAGATTTAGACATTAACAAGTACATATACATATATAATGTTATATGTAATTATATATCTACATGTGTATAATATGTATGTCAATTTCCCTATGTTAAAGTAACACAATGTTTTCATATCTTTTCTATCATCTTTCTGTTTACCATTGATAGGTCTATACCAATAGCCTTTCATGAAAGAAAATCCACCTCTTTTAAGAAAACCACTTTTTAAAGAAACATAATCCAAAAGTTCATAAAAGGACAAAAATATCCCACTTACCATTCTCTCTACTCTTGTCTCTCCCCTATATTATTGGATATATCACAGAGAACATTTTCTCCTAAGTTAAAAGATTTGATTTCATTTCTCATGAATGAATACTTAAGAAAGAAATTATGAGTTGTATGAGAGTGTTTGCTCCACATTTTCACCAATATTTTGTATTTAAATCTTATTAATGCTTAGCAATTCTAATAGGTGTGCAGTGGCATCGCATTGTAGTTTTAATAAGAATTTTATTGATGAGTAATGATGTCTGGTATCTTTTCATGTGTTTATATGATTTATGTATCTGGTCAAGTGTCTGCTCAAATATTTCACCATTCTTTTATTAGATCGTCTTATTGTTTTGAATATAAAGAGTTATTTATATGCTTTACATACTAATCTTTTGCCAAACATACCTATTGAAAATATTTACTCACTGTCTGTGACTTATATCTTCATTTTCTTAATGATGTTTTTCATCATTAAGAAACTTATACCATAAGTTTTTGATATTGATGTAGTTCTTTTCATCAATTTTTGGTGGTCCATTCTTTTTGTGTTGTATCTAAATTCCCACTCCAAATATTAGAAGATTTTCCTGTTTTGTGCTAAAATTTTTTGTAGTTTTAATTTGTATGCTTAGATCTATGATCCATTTCAATTAATTCAAGTTAATGGTTGTCTATGGTGTGAAGTAAAAGGTAAGTCTCATTTATTCCTATGGATATCCAATTATCTCAGTATTGTTTGTTGAAAATTCTCCTTTTTTTTCACTAAATTATAATGACATGTTTATTGAAACTTAAATGACCATATGTTTGAATCCATTTTGAGACTCTTGCACTAATATCCTACTACCTTGATTATTCAAACTTTTTAAATTAAATAAGATATAAATTTAGAGAAAGGAGAACAATACTTTATTTAATTTTATTTGTTAGTCAACAGGCTATAATTTTAATGAATAAAAGTCAACTGCTGCCATTCAGCACAAAAATAGCAAAAGGTTAGTTATTGTACAAGATACAGTAAGCTAAAGCATTTATCAAAGCCGTGTCTGGAGTGTGAGCTTCTTGATTGCAATTCTAAGGTCTAAGGAACCGTCCTAAATCTGCATGTATTTGACTAACTGGGAATTAATTTTACTCTGGAAACACACATGTAAATTACACTATGAGATAATGCATTTAAAAATAATTGACCAATATTGCAAAATATCTTCTGCAATTTTTTTAAAAATTTTGTTTTACATGTGGTTTAGTTATTTCACTAAACCCTAATATATACAAAAATCAATAATCATAAAATGTTGTGCTGCCATAGATGTGTTAACTAATAGCTTATTTATTAAATGATTTGAATCACAATTGTACTACAAGAGTTGGACAATCTGTATCATAGTAAATCAATTACTTTTGGAAATAAAATAATGACTCTAACAATATTATATTGACTGACAAAGAAATTTTATGACAACAAATTTTCTAAATGTGTCTTTCACATCTTTGTTCCTAAGACTGTAGATCAAGGGGTTCAGCATGGGAATCACCACTGTGTAGAACACACAAGCCACTTTAACTATGAGCCAAGAAGTTTCAGAATTAGGGGTACAGTAAAGGAAAAGGATGGTTCCATGGAAGATGGAGACAGCTGACAGATGGGAGGCACAAGTAGAGAAGGTTTTCCAACGCCCACTTGCAGAAGGCATCCTCATAACAGTGATAAAAATGAGTATATAGGATGTCAGAATAATCAACAGGCTACTCACCTCATTGAATATGGCAATAATAAAACACAGCAGCTGGCTGATGTAGGGGTCCGAGCAGGAGATTGAAACAAGTACAGAGTGGTCGCAGATAAAATTATTTATAATGCCAGGCTCACAGTAGGATAATCCAAGAAGAAAATATGTGAGTGTCAAGGAACACACTATACTCCATGAGTAAGACCCAGCCACCAGCAGAACACAAAGCTTCTGAGATATAGTAGTGGTATATAGCAAAGGGTTACAAACTGCCACAAAACGATCATAGGCCATTGCTGCTAACATGAAAGTTTCTGTTATTCCAAATATGCAAGCAAAACAAAATTGCATAATGCAACCAGAGAAAGAGATGGTTCTGTCTTCCACAATCAAGTTCTCCAAAAGTTTAGGTGTAACGACGGTGGCATAACAGAAATCTACAAAAGACAAGTGACTAAGGAAAAAGTACATGATTGTGTGGAGTTTGGGATTGATCTTGATGATTATTATCATGCCTAAATTTCCCACTGCAGTAATTAGATAAACAGACAAGAAAACCAAGAAGAGTGGAATCTGGAGTTCTGGATATTCTGAAAAACCCAGGAGAATAAACGTGTGTATGATACTTTGATTTCCTTCAGATAACATTATGATTCCTGTCAAATAAAGAGCCAAAAATTATTCCTGAAAAGTAGAATTGATTAGAAAGGAGAAACAGAAAGAAGAAAGAAGCTATGTGTCCCTGTGAAGTTGACGTAGAATAGCAGGAGCACCTGAGAATTTGTTAGGAATACAAATTCTCTAGCTCCATCACCAACTTCCTGAATCAAAAACTCTGGGGTGAGGTCCACAATTTGGGATTTAACCAGCCCTCCAGGTAACTTTGATGCATGCTAAATGGAGAAAACCACTGGTTTAGAAAATATGTAGTAATCATATTGATTAAAATTCAGCTCTTGTTCATGTTGTTAATATAGAACTGAAATATAAATTAATGGTACAAAAAAAACTGTGAAAAACTGAAGCAAGAGAAGCACAACAGAAGCACAGAGTACCTTGTTATGGTCCTAAGAATTACACTAAGGATCAAGGAGACTGCTTGGCATTGCACATGATGCCACATAAATCTTAGTATTATTTGGTTTTGCATTTTCAACCATTTATAGGTAAAATATAGAAGTAAATATTAATTAAATTTATGATTTGAAATAAATCATAAAATGTATTTAGTCTATGCCTTCCACCTAATGCTTGAAAAGTCACTAAGGATCTTATCCATGAAATGATCACATAGCCTCTATCTAAACCTCCACTAATGGTACACTGCCTCCTGGGTTAATTTTGTGGGTCTTTTAATCAACATTTTGTTTAAGTTATTATTTTTTATTCAAGTTAATTGAATTTTATTATTTATTAATGTACTTTTAGGTTTTGCA